AAAAGTTGTCCATGTTGGATAGAAAAGTGTTCCATGATGGATAGAAAAGTTGTCCATGTTGGATAGAAAAGTGTTCCATGATGGATAGAAAAGTTGTCCATGTTGGATAGAAAAGTGTTCCATGATGGATAGAAAAGTTGTCCATGTTAGATAGAAAAGTCCTCCATGTTGGATAGAAAATATGTCAATGTTGGATAGAAAATATGTCAATGTTTGATGAAAAATTGTTCCTTTTTGGATAGAAAAATGTTCTATGTTTAATAGAAAAGTTGTCCATGTTGGATGAAAAAGTGTTCCATGTTTGATGGAAAAAATTATTTCCTTTTTGGAAAGAAACATGTTCTATATTGGATAGAAATGTTGTCCATGTTGGATAGAAAAACATTCCATGTTGGATGAAAAATTGAACCATGTTGGATTGAAAAATTTTCCATGTTGGTTATAAATAAGTTCCATGTTGATTATAAATGTGTTCCATGTTGGTTATAAATGTGTTCCATGTTGGTTATAAATGTGTTCCATGTTGGTTATAAATGTGTTCCATGTTGATTATGAATATGTTCCATGTTTTAAGGTTAAAAAGCGTTGTCAATCGGGCATACCACTCTTCTTCTTTTTTAATGGAAGCCACTTAGAGTCACCTCAACTGTCCCTTTAATATAAGGGCTGACTCCATGAGTCCTAGTGGGTTGGAAAAAGTACGTTCACAATGACCTAACTTCATGTTTGTGTTTAAAACGCAATAAATTCAATGTGTTGCGTTGACGACACAATGTCTGAGAAATGAAGTAGATATTTCCAGACTTACAGCTGCAGTATTCCCGTCTACTGAAGTAGATATTTCCAGACTTACAGCTGCAGTATTCCCGTCTACTGAAGTAGATATTTCCAGATTTATAGCGGCAGTATTCACGTCTACTGAAGTAGATATTTCCAGACTTACAGCTGCAGTATTCCCGTCTACTGAAGTAGATATTTCCAGACTTACAGCTGCAGTATTCCCGTCTACTGAAGTAGCTATTTCCAGACTTACAGCTGCAGTATTCCCGTCTATTGAAGTAGATATTTCCAGACTTACAGCTGCAGTATTCAAGGCTACTGAAGTAAATATTGCCAGACTTACAGCTGCAGTATTCACGTCTACTGAAGTACATATTTCCAGACTCACAGCTGCAGTATTCACGTCTACTGAAGTAGATATTTCCGGACTTACAGCTGCAGTATTCATGTCTACCAAGTAGATATTTCCAGATTTATAGCGGCAGTATTCACGTCTACTGAAGTAAATATTTCCAGACTTACAGCTACAGTATTCACTTCTACTGAAGTAGATATTTCCAGACTTACAGCTGCAGTATTCACTTCTACTGAAGTAGATATTTCCAGACTTACAGCTGCAGTATTCACGTCTACTGAAGTACATATTTCCAGACTCACAGCTGCAGTATTCACGGCTACTGAAGTAGATATTTCCAGACTTACAGCTGCATTATTCACGTCTACTGGAGTAGATATTTCCAGACTTACAGCTGCAGTATTCATGTCTACCAAGTAGACATTACCAGATTTATAGCTGCAGTATTCACGTCTACTGAAGTAAATATCAGACTTACAGCTGCAGTATTCACGTCTACTGAAGTAGATATTTCTAGACTTACAGCTGCAGTATTCACGTCTACTGAAGTAGATATTTCCAGACTTACAGCTGCAGTATTCATGTCTACCAAGTAGATATTTCCTGACTAACAGCTGCATCATTCATGCCTACTGAAGTAGATATTTCCAGACTTACAACTGCAGTATTCACGTCTACTGAAGTAGATATTTCCAGACTTACAGCTGCAGCATTCACGTCTACTGAAGTAGATATTTCTAGACTTACAGCTGCAGTATTCATGTCTACTGAAGTAGATATTTCCAGACTTACAGCTGCAGTATTCACGTCTACTGAAGTAGATATTACCAGACTTACAGCTGCAGTATTTATGTCTACCAAGTAGATATTACCAGATTTATAGCTGCAGTATTCACGTCTACTGAAGTTAATATTTCCAGACTTACAGCTGCAGTATTCACGTCTACTGAAGTAGATATTTCCAGACTTACAGCTGCAGTATTCATGTCTACCAAGTAGATATTTCCAGACTTACAGCTGCAGTATTCATGTCTACCAAGTAGATATTTCCAGACTTACAGCTGCAGTATTCATGTCTACCAAGTAGATATTTCCAGACTTACAGCTGCAGTATTCATGTCTACCAAGTAGATATTACCAGATTTATAGCTGCAGTATTCATGTCTACAAAGTAGATATTACCAGATTTATAGCTGCAGTATTCATGTCTACCAAGTAGAGCACGGCATCTGAAAAATTAAACTGATTGGTGAAATCATTCAGACAAATTGGATTGAAGGATTTTTTGCGGATTAATCGTCTCTGATTGTTGCGAAGACTCTTCAGAGAAAAAAAATTGTAAATTTTTACAAAAATAAAACTACGCCCATCTCTAATACAAAAGAGATCCTTACATTGGACGTTTAAACTCGATGAACCATCATCTACCGAATCATTTTATTCTTCCATACTGCGTAGTAACAAAACTTTATGCTCTAAGAAAAGAATACGCCCATCTCTAGTACGAAGAGATCTTAACGTTGGACGCTTAAACTCAATGAACCATAATCTACTGAATCATTTTATTCTTGCATACTGCGTAATAACAAAACTTTACTTTCAAGCTCAAGAGATCAGTATGACTCTAAATAATAAGATAAACGCAATACCGGGTTCTTAAGCTGGTCATTTATAATACATTTCTTGTTTTAAGGTTGAGCGAATTTTGAATCACCCTGACTACAAGACTCCATCTCCATTAAGGTGAGGATGATATTAGACGTCATTTCAAGTTAGCATTAGTTTACAATTTTTCCATTAAAATTTTTTAATTGTAAATACACTAGTAATAATTCCTAATAGATGATTTTTTCCCCTAGCCATGACATTGCGCTTATATCCTTAACAGAAGGAGTTAATTGGTCATCAGAGGTAAGTTGTTATCAAATTTTTATAATTCTTATCATTATTTTTTGTTAAGATGGTTCATTTATTTAAATCTAAATCTAGCAACATCTATAATTTTGCAACCTGACTCACTGCAAACCATGTAGAAGGTGAGGGTAAACTTTATGCAAAATCACTGGAACGAATTTGTAACCTTTTAGTCGTGTATATGAATTTCAATCTTACGTGAAATTTACTTTAGTTTGACGTGGACTATGTTTAGTTAAAGGGAGTGTTCGCGATAAATGAAAGGGGGTATATGCTTAATGCGTTTAAAAAAGAAATTTGTTAAAAACGACTAATACCGAAGAACGCAATATCCATACAAATTCAGAAAGATGCAACATACGACTTAGACCGTAAAAAAATCTATTTAATTTCAAACAAATCATTCAGATATTAAAACCTATAGTCATCGATTATCTTTCGCCACATTTGTATATAGTTGATTTTTCATAATATGTTTTAATTGTTATGATCTGAGAGTTATTTATAAAAACATTTATTCCTGTTTGGAGGATTTTTGGTAATGAAGGCGACATTTTCATATTTTCCAGGAATGTTCGAAAACAAGTTGGAAGCTAAATGTTATTTTAAAAAATAAAAACAAAATATATTATGAAAAATCAACTATATACAAATACATCTTTCTGAATTTGTATGGATACTACGTTCTTCGGTATTAGTCGTTTTTAACAAATTTCTTCTTATAGACGCAACAGATTGAAGTAAGATTAGAAGTGATCAAAAGCGATTTTTTATCGCACTAAGCCTATACCCCATTTCATTTTTCGCGAACACTCCCTTTAAGCTCGATTATATTTAAAACTTAAATACTCACATAGTTTAAATAGAAAATGTCTACGACATCGATCTCGATAATCGATATCCATAGTGGGGCGCTTTTGAATTTTAAGCAGAATCATCGATTGATCTCTTGATATCACGGGATATCGAATAAAGCTTTAATTGATCTGTGGATCAACAATGGATCGAGATCAAGATCAAGCATTCATAACGATATCCACAATACAAGAGTTCTCAAAGATATAAAGATTAAAAAACCATATTTTGTGATGGGTTATCAGTTACTTGAAAGGAAATATTGAGAATTTTGCTTTAAACCAAGGGTTTCTTAATTTGCCTGAATTGATGAAATTAAGTTCTTGCCCCAAACTCCAATTATCTAATCCCTGTTGTTTGCCACCTCATAGTTTTTAAACCTTTGATTTTCAAAACGTAGACTATTTGGTCTAATGTAATTCATAGTTTAAACCATAAATGGACTGTGACATTTATTGTTGAAAAAACATAGGGATTGGGAAATATGAGATGAGATTCTAATAGCTTACACCCGAGTGAAACCCAGAGATGAGATTTTAAAAGCTTAAACCCGAGTGAAACCCAGAGATAAGATTTTAAAAGCTTAAACCCGAGTGAAACCAAGAGATGAGATTTTAAAAGCTTAAACCCGAGTGAAACCAAGAGATGAGATTTTAAAAGCTTCAACCCGAGTGAAACCAAGAGATGAGATTTTAAAAGCTTAAACCCGAGTGAAACCAAGAGATGAGATTTTAAAAGCTTAAACCCGAGTGAAACCAAGAGATGAGATTTTAAAAGCTTAAACCCGAGTGAAACGAGTGAAACCCAGGAGTTGGGTTCAGATAGAACCCAAGTCAGGATTGGCTCTGATTTGAACAATTAGAGACTACGTAGAAAGCGTTCACTCTGTTACAGACAAATTGCTGGCAGATCAGCTGTGACAAGGAGATGTAAATTTCGAAAATTCGAACTTTACCTAGATAAATTATTTGCATAGCATGTTTATTTCATATCTTTTTTACTAAACTCAAGGCTATCCAAGACCCGGGTCTTAACTTGAGCTTTAATTGGGTCTAAGCAGACGCAAATACCGGGTTTTACTTGGGTTTAAGTTTTAAATCTCATCTATGTGCTCGTGGCAAGAACTCAGTTTATTCATCGGACGAAAGGTTAAATTATAATTTACAGTTAGATATTTATATATCGGTAATTGCTAATTTCCACTAGCACTCTAAACTCTTAAATACCCAACTATATATTAACTGTTAAATGTGTATTAATATATATTATATATATAAGTATATATTTACTTATATAATCTGTTTGTAAAACCGTTGCTTGTCAACTGCATGCTTATATCCTTTACCGCTATATACACTAGGTTAACTCTTCAGTAGAAAAATATTGAAAGATAACTGTTAACCCGGTGTAAAAATATGCAACGGACTGAACGCTTAATACGAAGATTATCTAACTCTTAAACTCTAAAACTTATGTTTATGTTTTAGTTCATTCCATTTTTATATTCCATCCAAATTCTTTCATTCTTTCAGACTCCATTCTAATCCCGTCTATCCTTTCATTCTCCTCCCATTTCATTCTTCCATTCTAATTCCTTTCACTCTTTCATTCTCCTTTCTGTCAATCCCCTTCTATTCTTTCATTTTCCTTCAATTCTATTCCCTTTTATCCTTACGTACATTCTCCTTCCATTCCACCAAAATTATTTAATTCTCTTTCCATTCCATTCCCTTGCATCCTTTCAATCTCCTTCCATTTCAACCTCTTTTATCCTTTCATTTTCCTCCCATTCCCATTTTATCCTAAATTCCATTACCTTCTATCCTTTCATTCTACTTCCATTCCACCCTTCAACAGTACGCCTCTGTCATTATTAGTTCCTTGAAACAAATTGCCGCGTTTCTTTAAGACGACTTCCCATGTTAGTTAAAAATTGAAATAAATATATGTCTACTGTCTAGGTGTCTCCTATATGTCTATTGTCTAGGTCTCTCCTATATGTCTACTGTCTAGGTGTCTCCTATGTGTCTACTGTCTAGGTGTCTCCTATATGTCTATTGTCTAGGTGTCTCTTATATGTCTACTGTCTACTATATGTCTACTGGCTAGGTGTATCCTATATGTCTACTGTCTAGGTGTCTCCTATATGTCTACTGTCTAGGTGTCTCCTACATGTCTATTCTCAGGTGTCTCCTATGTGTCTACTGTCTAGGTGTCTCCTATATTTTTACTGTCTAGGTGTCTCCTATATGTCTACTGTCTAGGTCTCTCCTATATATCTACTGTCTAGGTGTCTCCTATATTTCTACTGTCTATGTGTCTCCTATATGTCTACTGTCTATGTGTCTCCTATATGTCTACTGTTTAGGTGTCTCCTATATGTCTACTGTCTAGGTGTCTCCTATATGTCTACTGTCTAGGTGTCTCTTATATATATACTGTATAGGTGTATCCTATATCTCTACTGTCTAGGTGTCTCCTGTATGTCAACTGTCTAGGTGTCTCCTATATGTCTACTGTCTAGATGTCTCTTATATGTCTACTGTATAGGTGTCTCCTATATGTCAACTGTCTAGGTGTCTCCTATATGTCCACTGTATAGGTGTCTCCTATATGTCTACTGTCTAGTTGTATTCTATATGTCTACTGTCTAGGTGTCTCCTATATGTCTACCCCTGGAGAGCTTTAGTTTAGATGAGAAAGATGCTACACTAGTTGGTTGGGGGTAACTTTTACTTCAAGGAATTATCCACGTTATTTCAAGACACCCTACATTATCATTGCACGATTTACAACGGTAAACTTTAATGGAGCAAAAAAACATCCTTATTTTTCTGCCAGAAATTTAAATTGTGTTTTCTTGCCGGTGTATGAAGCCGAAAAAAAGATAGGAAATAGGTAGACTTGGTGTTTTTTTTTTTAAGAATAAAAAAAAATTCTCATTTTTGTTTAGAAAAAATTTAAAGGGTAATATTAGTTGTAAATCTGAAATATATTTCTTGAAATGGATGGTTAATTGAATTTACGTGGATTGTTCATTGATTAATTTAATTATGTCTTAAATAATAATCATATTTTTAATTTATTTTTATCACATTTTAATTTATTTTGGCTCTTTCTTCGCATAATTTCTATTCGATGTAATTCTGTAAAGTGAATTTTATGCAGAAGTGCTCAGCAGATTCTGACTGTGCTGCTGAGCAGGCAGAAAACTAATTATGGGATTCATTAGTCAATCCCAGTTTCATTTATTATTTCAACTAAAATTTCGGACTATAATTTTCTTTACGTACCGTAGTTTTGATTTTTCAGTTTAACTTTTCTAAGGAACTAATTACTCGCCTCAAACTCTAATTCTTCAAAATCTAGTTTTTTGTCATCCTAGATCCTAGACCTTTCACGATTTAAAATACGAGTTCTGTTTGTTGACTTGAAAAGTCACTATAATAAAATAAAGAGATCTAAAAATGGATATTTCTAACATTTATTTAAAAAAACGAGTGTTTTGAAATATTTGCATTTAAGGTGGAGTTAAAATTGGTTGATTTAGAAATTAACAAAGGAATTAATGCTGGATATTAGATGGCGCTTCATGGAAGTGTTGTAGAGCTTCATGTTGGTGGAGCAGATCTGGGAACTGGGACAACAGGGCTCATCAATGGAACTAAGGCAACGCAACTCGAGATAGCGGAAACTTCGGTCAGATCCGTTTTAGTTTCCTAAGTAAGCTTCTCAAGAAGTTAATAGGGAGATCAGAGGTATAAGCACGCCTGCTGTTAGTTCAGTATCTGCATCATCAGCCTGAAGGAGTCATGGGGGGGGTGATGTAGAGCTTCATGTTGGTGGGGCAGATCAACAGGTGCGTTGTGCTGAGTATCTGCATCATCATCATGGAGGAGCCAGGGTTGAGACGGAGTTGTGAATCTTGAGTGTTTATAGCTGACTGCCGGGGCCGGGATCTGTAGAAGGGGGGGGGAGAAGAAGCGGGGGTTACATGTGGGCTTCATGGCAGAAATGGATCTTGAGTACACATACATCTAGAGAAAAGGCTACGGCATTTGAGTCAGAAAAATCGTCTTCCTTTTTTTTTCGAATTTGTGTTAACATTACATTACAAATTCGAAACTTTAAAATCCAACCAACCAAGATATAACCCGCCTAGATTTCAATATTTCAAAATGTTGACTTGAAAAGTCACTATAATAAAATAAAGAGATCTAAAAATGGATATTTCTAACATTTATTTAAAAAAACGAGTGTTTTGAAATATTTGCATTTAAGGCGGAGTTTTCGAATTTGTGTTAACACTGTTATATCAAATAGTCAGAATTAAAAAAAAAATAAAAAGGTTGTAAAGGTATACGAATAAGAAAATTAGAGACTGAGACGAGTTATCAGTTTCTTTCCTCTTCTATTGAGGTTTCTAAATATTATTTTCGACTATTTTTTTTGTAAAATCTGATTTTCAGTTATTTGTTTCCATTCTTGGAAATTCTATTTTTATACTTTAAGATTTATTTTAAATTTATTTCCCATTTCTCCACATTCATTTTTCATTCTTCTAAATTCATTTTCCATTCTCCTAAATTCATTTTCCATTCTTCTAAATTCATTTTCCATTCTTCTAAATTTATTTCTCATTCTTCTAAATTCATAATTATGATTCTTTTGAATTCATTTCTCATTCTTCTAAATTCATAATTATGATTCTTTTAAATTCATTTCTCATTCTTCTAAAATCATTTATCAGTCTTTTAAATTCATTTATTATTCTTCTAAATTCATTTCCCATTCTTCAAAATTCATTTCTCATTCTTCTAAATTCATTTCCTATTCTTCTAAATTCATTTCTCATTCTTCTAAATTCATTTCTCATTCTTCTAAATTCACTTATTATTATTCTAAATTCATTTCTCATTCTTCTAAATTTATTTCTCATTCTTCTAAATTCATTTCTCATTCTTCTAAATTCATTTCTCATTCTTCTAAATTTATTTCTCATAATTCATTTCTCATTCTTCTAAATTTATTTCTCATTCTTCATTTCTCATTCTTCTAAATTCATTTCTCATTCTTCTAAATTCATTTATTATTATTCTAAATTCATTTTTCATTCTTCTAAATTCATTTCCCATTTTTCTAAATTCATTTCTCATTCTTCTAAATTCATTTATCATTCTTCTAAATTCATTTCTCATTCGAAGAAATCATTTCTCATTTGAAGAAATTATTTATAATTTGAAGAAATTATTTATAATTTGAAGAAATTATTTATCATTCGAAAAAATTCAAATTTTTACTTAACAATTATTGTCGGAGCTACAGAGCCAAATTTAACAAGTCATCAAATTTTTTGAAATGATGTGTAGATGTATTTTTTATTCCTCTGAAATAATGTCTCATTCCTTCAATGTTCTATGATTTGTATTTATTAACTTAAAGGCATGAGCATATCGGGATGAACTCAGTTCCGACAGTCTTCTCTGAGGTAATTTCAAATATCACCCGTATACAGAGAGACCCATAATAATGTGAACATGTAAAACGACATTAAATCAATCGTTTTTATATTTCATGAAAATATTTACAACGACCCAATTTTAAAATTATTTAACTTTTCATATTAGCAGTTTGATTCTATGTGTATATATAGTTAGTTTATATTGTTGTAGGTAGATAATTATTTTTATATATCAATGATGATATTTATTTTAGATATTAATGTACACCAGTATACCTTTACTTTCAAATAATGTTTGCCAGACATGGTTTGATGAAAAAAATTATGAAATAATTCAGGTAAAAGTAAAAATTTTCGTTTTTAAAAACAATATTTTGAGAAAAAAAGTCAACAGATTTTTTTTAAATTCTTTAAACTTATTAACCTGGTCAAGAAACAACACTGAACGTTAAATAAACTTTTTGGACAGAAAGACGACATTCAAACAAGCTGTAGCAAAATAATTAAGTCTTTTCCACACACTCTGATTTTCTAATCCCTATATCTGAGCAAGCCAGGGGCGGATACAGGATTTAAGTGAGGGGGGGGTTTGGGCAAGATTTTTTAGGAACAAAAAAATGAATAATTAGGATCAAAAAATTAATGACTAAAGACTAAAAAACTAGATTTTTAAATTTTAGGAACTAAATTAAAGGATTAGAACAGGAATTTAGGAACAATTAAAAGATTGTTCAGGAATTAGGCACAAAAATGAAGGATTAGGACAGGAATTTAGGAACAATTAAAAGATTGTTCAGGAATTAGGAACAAAATTAAAGGATTCGGACAGGGATTTAGGAACATTAAAAAGATTGTTCAGGAATTAGGAACAAAAATAAAGGATTAGGACAGGGATTTAGGAACAATAAACAGATTGTTCAGGAATTAGGAACAAAAATATAGGATTAGGACAGGGCTATAAGGTGGGTCGGACAAAGTATTAGGAACAGGAACAATAATAGGAACATTAGCAATTTAACCCTATTCCTGCTGGGGGGGGGTCAATTTGAACCCCCCAGTAGTTTTTTTTACAAAACTCAAAAAGTGTTGGTCTGAGGCTGTTGAAATTTTCTGACTTTTCTTACATACCCAAAGCCCTCCCTTTAGGCCTAAAACCGGGCTTTAATACTAACTGCCTGAGTCCTCAGGCACACTTCCTCAATGACTGTTTTTGCCTGTAACAAACTAAATCTTTGTTTTGACCCACTTTCACTTGTCAGATTTTGATAAAATTTAGCTTTTTGGAAAGCCTATGACATAAAGAAACGGATTGCACAAGTTTTGCGAAAAAAAAATTGCAAATGTTTTGCAAACAACCTGTCAAAGGAAATTTGCACATTTTTAGTTTTTCTTGATTAAAAATCAGGTTATTTAAAATTTTGCAAAAATTTTTGCATATTTGAAATGGCATGGTCAAGGGCTTTTCAAAAATGTTTAATTTGTCATTTTTTGGACAAATTTTTTTTTGCAAACATTTTTACTATAAAACTGGATTTTGCGATAAAAAATTCAATTTTCGCAAATTTGCAAATTTTTTTGCAGATTCTAAAAGTAAAGCACAATAGCTTTCTAATGATGTATCATTTGTCATATTTGGACATAAAACATGGGATTTAGAGGGGGGGTCAAATTGACCCCCCCCCCCCCAGCGTATCCTGGTTTTCAAGCACCCCAGCAGGGATAGGTATTGATTAAGGAACATTACTAGATATGAACAATATTATCACTTAAGTTTCTTACAAATTTCTAATTCTAAATTTATCGTTAACAATAACATTTATCAAATTGGGAACATTTTTTGCCTCAAAATCTCAGGGGGGGGCGAATATCCCCCGCCCCCCTTGTATCCGCCCCTGCAGCAAGCCAATGTTGTTGACAGAATTAAACCTTAGATATTTCAAACTATGAGTTCTGTTACATCAAATAATATAAGTGTTAAATGTCAAACGCTTTACACCATCAGGTTGCAAAGATTTAGGCATTAAAAGATTTGTGACAAGCACTCAGTTCCTTTGACGTGTTGCTTTAAAATAAGAACCAGAAATTTGTGTAATAGGAATACAACATTTAAGTCATCTTAAATTATATTACGTTATAGCTTATAGCTAGAAGTTTACTGCAGTAGCAAGAAAATCGTCTTCCTATTCCACTGTTAATGCAAACCTCTTTGTTGCAAGTTTGACATAAAGCTCATTTCATTGATTGTCAATTAAGGTTTAGTGTCCCTTCTCTTTAAATAAGTTTAGCGTATGTTTACATATATTACACAATTTATACTGCATCAAGTACGGTGGTTAACATTCTTAAAGGGAGTGACCGGGTATGTAAGGTAGTTGAGTATGCAGTGTTTTGGAAAGCTTCTTTCAGATTTGAGACATATTAAACTTTTTAAAGATCTGTAAATCCTAAGTTGGAGGGCAAATTCGACGTTCAAAACTCCTACTTTGGGGGTGGATACGTTATCAGAATTTTTTTTTCTTGAATTACTAAATAACGACGACATAAAATGTAAAACATTCTACAATAAACTATAGGAACATGTTGTGAAAATAAAAATTAATCTTATCATCGAAAATAAGTAATCTTGTTCAATTATTAGTTTCTATTATCTCATTATTCTGGTTTCTCATTATTCAAAAAGATTTTCGCAGATTTTCTAGAATTATTATTGAAAAGACGACATTTGAGGAATTTGAAGAAATCTGCGAATAAATTCAAAGAAAATTAGAAATTCTATATAATAATGAAAACGAAATAATCGATTTTAGCATTGATTTATTGACAAATTTCTTATGAGAAATATGTTCCTCACTTTCTAATTAGATTACTGCATAATTTTTTCGTTGTCGTTATTTAATAATTTAAAAAAAAACTAATTCTGAAAACGTATCCACCCCCAAAGTAGGAGTTTTGAACGTCAAAGTTGCGCTCAAACTCAGGATTAATATCTTTAAAAAGTTTAATATGTCTGAAATGAATCCGAAAGAAGTTTTCCACAACACTGTATACTCAGTTCAACTACCTTACACAGCCGGTCACTCCCTTTTTAAGGAAGTAATGGTTCTGTTCTACGGAAGAAGGGTAATTTTGAAGTACATTAACTGTATAAAAATACGAATACAGTGTTGTTTCCAAATTATTATATGTAAACCTATAGTTTGATTTAGGATGGTCACCTTGTAAACATATATTTAAAACCAGGATGGTCACCTTGTAAACCTTTATTTAGATCCAGGATGGGCACCTTGTAATCCTATATTTAGATCCAGGATGGTCACCTTGTAAACCTATATTTAGATCCAGGATGGTCACCTTGTAAACCTATATTTAGATCCAGGATGGTCACCTTGTAAACCAATGTTTAGATCCAGGATGGTCACCTCTGTGCCGGGGTCAAGGAGGGTGGTCATGATGGATGTAAGGGAGATTCAGGTACAAAATCTATTTAAAGGGATTGTTCACCCTTTTTCAAAATATTCGTATTTTTAACGTCATTGAGAAAATTGAGTACGAAAATAAAATTCGCGTTTTTTTTTTCGATACTTTGAGTTATGAATTCCACTGAAAGAAAATTTTTGCGAAAAACGGAAATCAAATATCGGTATATAGTTCGGTCAAATAACAGTTTTCAAATATTTTGTTTACATAGACTAAACATACAATTTTTCCGATATTAACGCATGACCCGATCTTTATTTAAATAATCAGGTTTCTCATAAAAATATTGGAAAATTCAAGATTATTAACGCTTATAAGGCCCCAAAATGTATTATATTATAGTACACGGGCTATAAAAACCTAATCACCATGTTTCCACGGAACTACCGATATGTCAATAATTTTATGCTGTTAATCACAAGCATTGATCTCCATCTTATTGAGGGATCAAACCTTTATCTTTGAATTTAAAAGTGTCCACATTAGATATTGAGATAAAACGTTTAAGATATACGATACTCCACTTCTATATATAATTTATATGTAAAATTACCTACTATATTATATGCATATTATATATGTAAAATAGCTTGTAAATCCAGCTTTTCCTGGAATGGAAGCTAAATATATAGATGTAAGCCCACGAAGCATGATAGTAGCAAGACAGCTTGCAAGTCGTCTTTTATCTTTATATCTTTATTTGTGACGTGCAGTCGTCAACCTACATTAATATTTATTATTCTTGAAACAATAACCACAAAATTCACCTGGTCCTAGCATTTCCAAATTGTAGTCTGCCTTTGTTATTAAGAGATATTAAGAATTTTGTTCAGATTTCAATTTTATTAAATAAAAACATTATTTGTCGAAATCTTGAGGAAATTTTCCTTATCTCAAGTAATATTGAAACCACAAAAAAGAGAGACCGCATTTTGGAAAAGCCAAGACTAGGGCCATATTTCGTGATTATTAATTCTAAAATTGTACTGCTGAAATAAAGTTTACGAAAAAATGTCACAAATAAATTAAAAAATCAAGGATGACCTTCAAGTCTTCTTACTACTGTCACGTTTCGTGGGACACCCAATACATATTTTATGAATTTTATTAATAAACTGAGCTAGGAAGACGATATTTAAACAACACCCTGTATATATATTCTATGAATTTTATTGATGAATTGAGCTAGGAAGACGATATTTAAACAACACCCTATATATTCTATGAATTTTATTGATAAACAGAGCTAGGAAGACGATATTTAAACAACACCCTATATATTTTATGAATTTTATTGATAAACTGAGCTAGGAAGACGATATTTAAACAACACCCTGTATATATATTCTATGAATTTTATTGATAAACTGAGTTAGGTAGACGATATTTAAACAACACCCTATATATTTTATGAATTTTATTGATAAACTGAGCTAGGAAGACGATATTTAAACAACACCCTATATATTCTATGAATTTTATTGTTAAACTGAGCTAGGAAGACGATATTTAAACAAGACCCTTTATATATTTTACGAATTTTATTGATTAATTGACCTAGGAAGACGATATTTATTTTAAACAATTCTCCGAAGAAGAAAAACTCGAAAGTTTCTGTGAATTTTTTAAATAACTTGCTTTTCAAGAAATAGGAAAATAATTTTGTATTTCTTTTCACGTTCTTTTAATCAATAGAAGTTCTTTTGATTGTTTCTAATAAGCAAAGGCTTTATAATGTTCTAAATAATCAACATAAATAGTTTTAGTGACATTAAAAATATATTCCATGGACACAATAGTTTTAAAACAATGGTAGATGTCAAAGACCCTTTTACTAATAAAAGTTGGAAGACAAAAAATAAGCAATTTTGTGTATTTAAAGTTGTTACATAGGACTTTTTAAAATATTAATTTGGGTACACCAGTCGTCTTAAAATATTGAGGGGGTCCTCTGAGTATAGGACTAGAGAGTTCAGGAACATTGGTTGGAGTGGTTTCTGTCGGAGTAGGTAAATATCGGTTTTATTTAAAGGCCATTTTTCCTCATTGCATGTAAAACTCAATTTTTCGCGGATTTTTTAGTTTAAATTTTAAAGCAATCAACTTTGATTTTTTCATCCGGGCCAATTTTTCCAACTTTTAAGGTCCATTTCTCCCCTGGAATCTTTTGAGTTACCAAAAAAATTGGACAAGATCGGTTTTTTAAATTTATTTAATTACATGATTATGAATTATAATTATACAAATTGAAATCTATTTTTGATTGTTTTGTCTTATACAGAATTGGTTTATTTGCAAAAAAAACTTTTTTATATTAATTTTATTATCTAAATAGGTATAATTTTAGACTTAGAATAAAGTTTTATAATGTTGGAACCTTCTAATACTGTCGTAAACCATTTAAAAGTCTAAAAACATTAAAAGTTTTTGTAAAACGAATCTGGCTATTACCCATCCCTTTATATAGGTTGTGGGTTACCTAAACTACCTGGAGTGTATACTAGGGTTTCCTCATATACTCATTGGATTCAGGTATTCATTTATCCAAGGAATATAAAGTTAGGGAGCTCCCTAACTTAGGGGCCACTGGAATTGTAGTAAAATAAGCTCTAGGTAGGGGTGTACTCAGGAATTTGTCCAGGGGGGTTCACCCTCCCCATTGGGTACGCCTCTAGCACTAGGTCTATTCTATCTTGATTTTTATCTTCTAGGTCAAATCTATCCTGATTTTTTATCTTCTAGGTCTATTCTATCCCGATTTTTCTCTTCTAGGTCTATTCTATCCCGATTTTTCTCTTCTAGGTCTATTCTATCCCGATTTTTCTCTTCTAGGTCTATTCTATCATGATCTTACCTATACTGATTTTATCTTCTAGATCTTTTATATCCTCATCTTTATCTAGGTCTTATCTATCCTAATTTTTCTCTTCTAGGTCTAATCTATTCTGATTTTTATCTGGGTCTTACCTATCCTAATTCTATCTTCAAGGTCTTTTATATCCTGATTTTTATCTAGGTCTTATATATCCTAATTTTTGTCTTCTAGGTCTAATTTATTCTGATCTTTTCTTATCTGATTTTTATCTAGTTCTTATCTATTCTAATTCTATCTTTTATGTTTATCCATCCTGATTTTTATCTAGTTCTTATCTATTCTAATTCTATCTTTTAGGTTTATCCATCCTGATTTTTATCTAGGTCTGATCTATTCTAATTTTTATCTAGGTCTAATCTATTCTGATTTTTATCTAGGTCTAATCTATTCTGATTTTTATCTAAGTCTAATCTATCCTAATTTCAGGTTTATTCAACCCTGATTATTCCTATTCATATCTTATATAACTTCTCTCCTTATAATTTTAGATTTATTTGAATTCTTCTAACTTGTTAAAAAGTTGTTATATGTTACACAATTTTTCAGATTTTTTAATATTTTGATATTTTTCAGTTTTATTCTTGTGCTGACATAAATTTTAATATATTGCTTATAACATATTTTCTTACTTTGATCTTTTGATTCTTTTTTAAAAATTTAAAAATGTTTATGTTTTAGAATTTTACCATTGAAGACAGTACAGACAGTACAGGACAATCAGAAGCAGACAAAAAGTTATGATGTTTTTTTTAAGAAAAATATTTAATTATTTATGAAAATATATTTATTGATAAAAAAAACATTGGATTGTCATTATTTTTACCAAACACAAGACAACTTTACAGAAAAAAATTATTTGAATTTAATATAAACATAAAAGATATTGAGATAAATCTTCTCTTATTTCAAAAATCAGTGAAAATTTTTACTTTTTTGGTTTGTTTGCGGGACAAAAAAAATTCTCCCGAAATAGTTTATGATATTAAAGGTCCTATTAATCAAGTAGAAAAAAAAGTTTAGAAATTGACATTTTGAGGCAAGTACTCAGTTTCTTTACTACATATAGTGTCTAAACTCTAAACCAAGTAGGTTTAAAACGATATACATAAATAGATATAGCGGTAGAACCAATATAAAGCCAAACTACATTAGAGCATGGAAATCAGAAATTTATGCAAATTTTTGCAATAAAAGCAAACACACAAACACCAAGGCACAGACAGCATATATAAAAGAAATGAAAACATTCAGAATTTATTTAGAATTTAGACAGGTTACGGTTCCATCAACTTTAGTATATTTTACTCTCAGATATTGCACATAGATATTTAGTTAGTACCACAAACTCAATTTTTCAATTTCCTATGTCTTTACAACTAGATGTTGTATCTTTGCTAGTTCAAATTTTATTAGCAAATCAGAGTTTGTGGCAAAGACTTAATTGAAATAAATCATTGTGTCTTTTTCATTAATATATTAAACTTCTTATTCTGTATAAATTTGTTAGCAGATTTCTTCACATTCTTCAAATTTTGTCTTTTTCCTTTAAATTCTAGGAAATTTACAGAAAATGTTTGTGAACAATGAGTTATTTCAGAAACCAATAACTGAATAAGCTTACTTATATTCTATGATAATAGTTAATTTTTATTTTCTCAACCTGTTTCTAAACAACTAATTAGTTTACAGTAGACTTTTTTCTACATATTTCGTTGTCGATATTGAATGACTTTTTTTAAACCGATTCTCAAAATCATTCCTCAAAAATGAACAGTCTAAGAGGATTTTAAAGATTTGATTGGCGCTCTTGCTTAACAAATATGCACCGTAAAAACTTTCTATAGGTCTTAAATGATTCCTAAAAAATTTCTCCTCAATACTACAATCTCAGTTCAACTACCATACATTGCCGGTCACTCCCTTTAAATATTCGCATGCTCATACAGGGTGTCCCAAAAAAACATGGGAATTCAGTGACGAATTCGATATCGTCTTTGTTATGAATTAGCATTGTAATACCTAATTTCAAAAGCCATAATATTATTATGTCTGCTAGAGTTAATTTAATGAAAAGACTGTAAAAATGTGTCTATGTCTCCGCAATATGAACAGTGAAGAC